TCATCTAAAATTAGATATGGATGTTGAGCATTAATTGCGCGATAAGCGTACAAGTCTATGATGTTTGCCCTCCTCTCTTCCTTCCCCCTACCCCCTTCTTTGCTTCGCTCCTCTTTTCTTCCACGATAACTTGGCGCTACGAAGCGCTAGTAGTTAGTTCTCAGTTCTCATGAATACACAACGTGGTTGAATGGCGTAAATATATTACGCGACAAATATGCCGTGACAGGGTAACGACTCGACAGGGATACGGGTGTCCGAATAAATCAATGGCGACACCGAGGCCAGGATTGAAAAGTAGGGCTGAAAAGCCGCGGAAAGAAAGGAGTTGGCATTTTTTTTCCGCGAGTCACGGTTGCGGCAATACAAGTCCACCACGACGCGAAAGTTGTCTTTCGCCTCTGCGTTATCATTGTCGATGACGTCCGTTCATGTGCGTCTCTCTGTCCGGTGTCCTTTCAAACCCCTTAATCGCAAATATGGAATATGCGCCCCCGATTTCGAAGGCCGATCGGGCAACGCATCGAGTGTCGGTCAACGGAATGATCTGTTCTAACCGTCGTTCTTAAGGCACTCTCACACCAAATCACTTTCTTCTTTTTGCCATTCTCGTATTCATCGAAATTCGTAGTTGTCTTTACTTTTCTGTAATTATTATATATATGTATAACATAGCGTAATTAATTTATAGTTAATTATAGTTCTTATTTATCTTTCACCTATCAAACAATTGTAACTTAGATATTTTATCTAATCAATGACTACAATTACTTCGCTATCATTTCATTAAATGAGTCCCAGTGAATTCTTTCTTATCGCATTCCTATTAAAATATATCAAATACGTCTTATCTGTAGACGTATAAAAGCACTTGTTTGTTTCTGAGTATTCAACGGGTATTTAATATGAAAAGTAGATGACTCAGTTAGAAGATAATTGCTAGGCGACGTCATTCTTCTCATTGTTCTTTTCCTCATCTCTAATCAGTCGATTTACTGTACAGCTACACGATACTCGAGAAAGCATACATCGTGCAACTGAATGCACAGGTTGACTCGGCTGGTTGAGTGAGCGAGCGAAGATGACGTCAGAGCACGGTTGCAGCGCCCTAGATCGAGGGAGGTCACCGTGTGCAGGCCGATGGCCCGCCGAGGTCGTACCCTCGGTCTCTCCGCGCCGAGTACGCTTTTCGTCTAGCCGTTTCTAGGCTAGCTTGGGTTACGTCTCCAGAACGTGGGAGGCCGCCGAGTGCAGCCTCGGAAATCCGATATATCGTCTAATGTATAATATACTCTAGGTCATCCAGGTACTCTGAGAAGTGACTATCTTGACCACAAAGAGAGATTTAAAAATGTTTCGTTTTGTTCTCTCTTGCTTAAAGGTAGTTATATACCCTTGAATTTGAAATTTTTCTAAATATATAAGATTTTAGTAGGTAAAAAATCTGAGAAGCTCTGAATTCTATAATTTACTAAAGAAACTTTGAGATATTCGAAAGAGCAAACGTATCCTAGAAATCGGAGAACTTGAACCACTTCGAAAATTTCATCCGAGATTCATGCGAAGAATTTTCGATTTCGGAAAAAATTAATTTCTCGCCTAATTAACTAAATCCTTGTTGCACGTACGCATCCGTATGTAATAAAAAGAATCGCCCTGCCTCGCGGAGACAATCGTCGTGCATGGGCGTTTGATCATGGAACCGCGGTGAAGGGTGAAGAGAACCTTCTGCCAGTAGAACAATGTACCGCCGTGAACTCTCGGCGTCTCTGTGCCACCGCGGAATCGCGTGTCATGTACGTCAAGTGCAAAGATGCATTCACTGCAGATGCTCGCGCGCGGGCATGCTCGTCCTGGGAGAATCTTCAACGAAGATCGCCCGCGATCTGCCCGCGTTTGCATTTACGGATACGCGAACAATAGTTGCGTTCGTTCACATATTTAAGAAGATAGAAGAATTAGATAAGAAAATCTGTTTGTCGATTAAGTAAAGTGATTCATGAATAAAATCAATGACATATCTATGATCTTTGCTCTTTATTTAGAAATTATATTAGATGAGGGAAAGAACAAATAGATATTATATGTCTTAATTATATATCTC